GGTTTACTTCCGGTATATAGCAAATTCGGTTTCCGTTATAGACCGTAACGCATCACATGACACTCGAGTACACCTTACCACGATCAACACCACTACCCCCACCACCCCACAGTACACTACCAACACCACTACAACCACCAATATACCCCCACCATTACCACTACTCCAATCATTGCCACCCCAACCCCCACCATTACTACCACCACCAATACCCTACCACCACAACCACTACCATTACTACCACCACCAATACCCTACCACCACAACCACTACCATTACTACCACCACCAATACCCTACCACCACAACCCCCACTATTACTACCACCACCAATACCCTACCATCACAACCACTAACATTGATACCACTACCATCACTCTCACCACCCATTACCATTATTACCACCCTACCATCATTACTACTCTTCTATAATCGCTACTCTACCATCACACTACCCTACCATCACCACTACCATTGCCACCACTACCCTACCTTACCACTACCACCACTACCCTACCTTACCATTACCACAACCACTAACACTACCCTACCTTACCATTACCACTAACACTACCCTACCTTACCATTACCACAACCACTAACACCACCACTACCCTACCTTACCATTACCACTAACACTAACACTACCACCCCACTGCCACTATTACTGCTACTGCTGCTGGGGCTTTTGTTGCATCATTTCAAAATTGGGGTTGGAGATAAGTACGTTCGTCTAGACAATCATAAAACTCTCTATTTATTAGCATTTCGCTATGATATAATTACATTTATTTTGCATATTACTTATTTGCTCAGCTGTCGTACTTGGCTTTCCATTTTTCACAAAATGACATGTCCGCCATTTAACTACTGATCTTCCTTAAATTCCAATCAGCATGTCAGCGATCTTCGTGTTAAAAATTAGTTGTTAAAGGTATACCCTGAATTTATAGCAGTTCTTTCCTTCGACAACACAATTTAAAATAAAGAAATATCTATTTATAAACTATTAAAAGTCTATATATAAACTATATTTCATGAGCATATTTTTCCACTAGCGAGCAGAACTTGGTATTAAGATTCAAATACATATTTGTCATATACTCTTCTTTCTATTCCTATTCACATTCGGCTTATTTCGTTTTGTTCTACCAATATTAGTTATCAAGTTTCACTTAATAACACGGAAGATTATTCTTTTGAATAAGAACTGAACTTCGTTGATGTGAAGTAGAGTCAAATTAAAAATGTATAATGAGGTTCACTTAGAAGTACACTTAACAGTATGTCACTAGTCATTGTAGATTAAAATTTTGAGTTATTTTGTCTGCATTGGATTCGGCGCGTGCGGGATTCGACGTCTAAACTGGACCTTAGTTATTGAATCTTTTATATACTCTTTTTGTAGTTTTTTAGAGATTTTATGCCTAGTATTTTAGTGTACCTATATGTAATGCGCAGTTGATCATATTAACATGTTAAATTGCGCAATACAAATAATAAACTATTATTATTATCATTATTATTATTATTGCTATTACGCGTCATTACGAGTTATTACGCGTCATTCGTATGATATTCCTCTGACTAGAGTACATTATGAGAACGAGGACAATCCCTTTAGTTGCTGCRGCACTTTCTCTATTAATGCGGACTGAGTGTTGGTCCGGCCGRGGTTTTAACCCATCGCCTACAACACAACGACCAATATTTGGTACGGAACTAGTACTTATACAAACATACATTACACATCATAAACCTAATCGGCTAACGTGTTGCTATAAACGTTTCCACCCAATTCAAACCATGGGAGTAAGTTTCATTGTTCGTTATATTTTGGTTTCACAGTTGAATTCGTAGATACAAATGCTTCTATTCCCAGAAGGTTTGAATTGGGTGGTAATGTACATAGCAACACGTTAGCCAATTAGGTCTATTGAAGAGCTCGTGTGAAATTTCTAACCGACCCAACCAATTGATTGTTCTACTGACGACTTTTATAAAGTAATTAAAACTAGGCGTTGCTTGAGAAAAGAATAATAGTTAAGGGGATTATAAATGGTTTGTAGAAGGGAGGCAGCATATTATAGGAAAGGTTTCTCTGTTGCATTTATTAAAAGCCAGCTGGTTTTTATACGGTTTTTTCTTTAGGGTTGTAAATTATTTTTTCGGCATTAATTTAATTTTTTCTTTGAAAACTAATCCGAGTTCCAGGTGGATTTTTCTTGTTACTTCCTGCATCCTTTTTCTAGTTGCCTTTCTTTTCGGTTTTTGATTTTAACCTGCTTAAATAACGGGTGATGTTACAATAACGTTTTCCAGACTACCATTTCTCTTCTTTTTCCTAGTTTTCCTGCCTTTACTTCGGCTTAAATAACGGTGCTTGAACGATAAAGGTTTTCAGAACACCATTTCTCATTTTTTCCCCTATTTTTTCAGCCTTTACTCGCTTAAACTTACGGTACTTTTACAATGAGTTCTCCAGACCACATTGGCAACATCATTTCTCATATTTAAGAGCAATATTCACACGACCGTCTTTATATATGACCACAGATTCAATCGCGTTTCTCCTGAATACACCATTAAAAACATTTCTAATAATGCTCATTGCCTGGGAGCGAAATTCACGAGAAATAGTGCCGTAAACGAAAGGGTTACAACAGGAATGAAGTAAAAGAAGCTGATGTGAAAACTGAGAGAAAATGCCATGTAATTTTGGATAGTGGAAAATGTGAGCCATCCAAGCGATTTGTAGTGGTAAAGTGAGAATGGCATAAAGAAGGATAATTATCACGGATATTTTAAGAACCTCCATGTCTCTTTTTCTTCTGGTAGCCATCTGTGAGGCTGTGTCTATAGACAAACCTGACTGTGGAACTGCATGGTGCTTGAGGAACACAACAATCTTGATGTAGGAAACGGCCAAGATGGTCAGGGGAATGGGGTACTGTAACAGAAACAGCGCTGTTGTATAAAGCTTGTTCAAAGTCTGTGTCGGCCAGTTTTCCCTACATTTACCATCCTTTGCATCAAGTACTATCCCATATGGTATGACCTCTATAAGAGCGAAAAACCATAAGCCGGCAATCGTTAGGTAGATACATTTTACACTCGGTTTGAGTTTGAACGGGTTTACAATCGCTCTACATCTGAACAAAGCGATTGCAGTYACTGTATACATACTTACGATCAAAAGCATCGTTTGAGAAGGAGAGACCACTTTGCAATAGAACAATGTCAATGGTAATTTGTAATATATATCGATAAACGATATTAAAACGAAGGCTATCTCGCTTACACAAAGGTTAGAAATAAAATATTCGTATGCTGGAGCTATTCCTCTCKTCTTCTTGATTTTAACATTGAAAATAACTACGAATAAGTTGCTGRAAACTCCTACAACCAAAAATACCACGTTAAATCCAAGCTTTAGTTTCAAAACCCATTCCAWTGACTTTCCATTGCTGGATGTGCTGTTGGATGCTGTCTCATTGAGCACAGAGAATATATCCCATCCACTTCTGTTAAGCATTTCTGTAGAGAATTTACTGAACGAATTATGAGTTCATAGATGCTTTAGAGCCTTGCGAGCGACATTTGAAGATCAACAAGGATAAGATATCCTCGCCCGATTTGTCCGAATATATAGAAGTTAGTTTGAAGAACTCTTCTGAAAGCAACGAATGTCAAGCAGGTTGCACGTTACTAAGTCAGAAGATGGACTTAGGACGTCTTGTGTTAATTATTGAAAGACCTTTCCAATTGCAGCTTTTTCCACGACCTGTTACGATTTTTACTGATAAGAAGCAGAGGAATAGACGGTGTTACTTGATACGTGATTGAAAAGTTACCAAGACTTTCCAAAGACACTTGAAATGAATGGACAGTTTCTTCAGTGCCCGATCGGTTTTTAATCAAGATGAGCTAAGAAAACCAGTTCACCCACAAGTACAACAAACATGAAGCTGGCATAGTATTATGTTAATGGTATATATTCATCAGCCGTTTAATTTTGAGTGACACTGACAGATTAAGTTGCCAACTTTTCAGTTTTCGCAAMAMAAAMAAAMAAAAAAAAAAAAAAAACGTAACTCAGCTTTCATCGTTTCAGTTCCTTCTCGCCTGTTTGCCAAGGTGGTATTAAATCATTTCATTCATCTTAAAGGGCTGTGTTCAAGAATAAAGATTTAACTTGAAGCTTGGGGCATTAGGAAAGAAATATATTTTGTAATTATAAAATATGTCCTTCCCCTCGGATTGGTTAACTGCAACGCATTTCGTAGTAGCAAGCTGGCACAGGATTTGGTCGTAGAGTCATAATGAATTCATCACATACATATCAAGGCTTTGTGATCTTTTTTTCCATTACAAAATGATTCTGAACTACAATTTTATTATTATGTAGACTTTTGTTTGGGTATGGGTGAAGTTGTGCTTCATTTTTAGGAATCCCTCAGCTGGCTGGCCTTGATTATCTTCTTCCAGGCTTTCTTTTGCTTTTTGCGCTTCTTTTTGAGATCAGCAAGCAAATCTTCATCATCACTGTAGAGGAAATTTATAGGCTTTCAATGCCAATAAAAACA